TACGGACGCTGTGATGAGTAATTAATCCCTCTGAAAAATAACGGTCATGGACCTAGGTGGGGGATGACCTCCACCGAAGGCATATATGCACCCGTGCTGACCCGAAAAAGTCACTTCAGGCACTCCAGACACGTCAGACATCATATTTGATACTTCATACCTTTTGGGAGCACTTCAGCACTGGATTTGGCATCAGACGACTATTACTTCGATTTCAAACGATTTCGTCAAGTCTCGTTGATTCTTCAAGTTAGCTCATCGCTAGTTCTCACCTGCATCAGCCAAGTTACCCTTGGGGGAAGCAGAGTCTTACTTACAAGACGAGACCGTCTTCATCCACAATTACGCCTGAGTCGCATGATTTTATTGCGTACTAATTGAGCCAATCCACTTCAGAAATTGCCACGCCGGAGCTGCGTAAACGAGAAGAAGTTAAATTGACAACGAGGACTCCCCTGAACTCATTTATCACGGGTTAAAGGCCAACGCTTGCACGGAGTAACAAGTACCTGCCGACAGACCTATTGACACAGTGCAGCCTCAAAGGAGTGTAACCAAAATACACCAAAATATTTGTTTTGTTAGTGAGTGAGAGAGTTGAGTGAACCATAAAAAGTGATCCGACATCTGAAGTCCACGAGAAGCCGAGCCGCCACCCCTGGTCCGACGGAAAATTGGGATCTTTTATTGCACCGCCCGCACCTCCGGTACGACATCTTCTCACCTGCCAGGTGAACGACCGGAACACCTAGATTATCGCAACGAATCTCCGAGTTCGTCGACCTCATCTTCACACCCCGAGAATCGTCTCATCTTCGAGAAATCACCGAGTTCTACCCCTTCAACTTTTGAGGAAACCGCCGAGTCCACCGCAGCGCGACTGAGTGATCGTGCACACCTTCTACTTCCCTGTTTATCATCAACTGTAAGTCTTGAATCAATTGTAATCCTTCCTTCACCTCAGTGTTACCTGTCTCTCCCATCAAAATTGAGCGGTTTTATCTTGGATTGCTGTAACAATCCTGTATTTTAGTACCCCAATAAATAGTCCTAAATTAATCAATAGAAAGCTTTCCTCTCTATCTCTGTGCGATTCTCTCACTAATCAGAATTCCTGCGTAACCTAGCATGGTACACTTCAGTGTTTTATCCCACACAATACGAGCCCATTTAACTTTGGCCTCCGTTTAGACGTAACTGGTCGCGGTCAATTCAGTTTTGGGGGTCACCCTCTTGAGAAAATAACCGATCGTCCAGCCGCCCGTAGGCCGCAACAGTCTTATAAGGACATTTTACTTCGGCTGAAGTGCTTAAGATATACCGTCAAACCTTTTAGACTTTTACTTTTTACACACGTTTATTTAACTCTTTTGTGAAATAGAAAAGTGCAACTTTATAAGAAGAATCAATTAAAATTGGCTAAGTATTGAAATCAATTATTCTTTAATGGAAAAATTATAAGGTACAGATCCAATTGCATGATGTCGTTTGGGTTTTTTTTCGGGTATTTTACTTTGTCAAAAAATAACATATATCTTTTGGTGTATATTCCCTTTCCTTCCTCTCCGCTGATAGAATCAATTACTCAATGAGTTTGTTTCATTGGCAAATA